AGTGGCGTGCAGAGATGGTGTCAGATTCGCCGCTCAGTTGGGCTCCAGGTGGTGCAGTTACGGAACAAGATGGAGACCCAACGCTCAACCATCGATCCTGTGTTGCGGGAGATTGATAAAATTAGACTTGCCTTTCATGAGTTTTCTCTTTCTTTCATTAGCAGAAATTGTAATAAGGTAGCACACTCTCTAGCTAAGCAAGTATCGGTTTCGCATCGTTCGGAGACGTGGCATGTAACTCCGACGTGCGTGTATGTCCTGATTTTGTCTGAGGCTTCGGCCAGCTGATAATGGGCCTGTTCGCTTGTCTGAATTCTGGTGGAATCTGAATGGTTTGGAGGAATTTGTGAAAGAAAAATACTGTTTCGGATAAAAAAATAAGCGGATCAAGCCGAGTTTAAGGGCACGCGAACGGGGCCAATAAAAGACAAGCAAGTCAAAAAAAAAAAAGCCTATTCAGCCTGCGTAAACACAAGGGCCCTGGCGCTCCCGTAAAAATTGACGCTGGCGCTTTCTAACAATTCGGCGATGAGCACACACCCATCTGCAGCAATGATTTGCAGTACGGCGTGATTTTCGCCGCGCGGGTCTGTGGAAAAGGTGGATTCAGATGCATGGATGAGGTGTGCGCCCAGGACGATGACGGTACGTGCGCCCTTCCACCACCGGAGAAAAGCTCTGGGGTGTTCTACTCGTGTAAATAACAATTGTACAAGCAGTACCAGTACATATCAATGTTTTATTTTTTTGACAACAGTACATACATACATACATATATATATATATATATATATATATATGTATATGTATATGTATATGTATATGTATATGTATATGTATATGTATATGTATATGTATATGTATATGTATATGTTTGGTTGGAGCACATCTGTCGTCAAGCAACGGAAACCTAAGCTAATGTTAGAGGATCTGTCTATACAGTTGAGCAATCTAATTAAGGGCAATCATTACTTGATTTTTTAACCCTTATATATAAAATAAAAGGTATAGATTGAATCTCTCTCTCTCTCTCTCTCTCTTATATTCTTCCATTCTTCTTCTTTCTCTGCCCGCGTTTGCACCTGATGTTTTGCCCCTGGCTCCGACGCAAGTTCTCTGCCACCGAATCCGCCACCAACCACCGCGACACGCCTCTAAATTCATTGGATGTGCCTCCGCCTTCCGCCTTGTCATCTTGTTTATCTTCGACCAAGATGCCCTCATCGCCACCGTCTCCCTCCTGGCTCCAGCGGCGCCACGCTACCTCCAACCACCGCCACGCTCAAATGATGGCGGTCACCAAGCTATCTCAGTTGCATCCCTCCCTTGTCTCATCTAACTATCTTCCCCAAGTGCCCTGCCGCCGCCGCCTTGCGCCACACCATGCCCCCAATCACCGCCAGACCAGCCTCCTCCCAACAATCCTTCTAAGCCCACCAAATTCAAGTAAGCCCTCGAACACCCAACCCGAACCCTAACCTTGCCAGAGTTAGAGAAGAAGACTACATGGAATTTTTTTGGATTGGGCAAAAAAAATCGAGTAAGAGTAGGACTTGAATCACTCGATTGATTTTAGCTTTACTGTTTGAAGAACCCATTATAGATTTAGGGGAAAGCCAACACTGTTTGTTTTAGGTCTTCAAGAACATATTTGACCTATAATTTCTCTTATAAAATATATAATTTGTAGGACAAAAGTTATTGGATTGGCTTTTGAAAACTAAAAACAAGCTCTTGAGTAAATAAACTAAAAGCTAAAAAACACATCGACATGACTGTTCACTTATGTTGAAATTTGGTTTATGCTGACGCTTATGTTGAAATATTGTGATAGAAAAATACTGTTCCATGGCTGAAAAGTAGTGCTGAATAAGCTCAAGCGAACATGAAGATGACAACTAGAAGCTAGACAACCAACTTTTGAGCTAGAAGGCTAACAACCTGTTCGCTTATTGGTTTCAGCCAGGGCTTATTAGTCAGCCAATAGTGTTTTTCTCTCACAACAAACCAGCACCAACCGGGCTTATCAGCCCAGAAACCAACCAGCGAACATACCGTAAAAGATAAAGCCTACAACCAGAAGCTAGACAACCAACTTTTGAGCTAGAAGGCTAAAAGATGAAGCTCAATTAATAGACCCTTGGTGCGTTTGAACACTTAGAGAATGTTTGGATACAAGGGCAAATTATTAGCTAGCTAAAAAATTACCAAGATTAGCTCTAGCTCATCCGAACAGGAGGACTAATAGGTAGACTAATTTTTTAGCCAAGTCTTCAACCAGCTGTTAGCTAACTAGCTAATTTAAACAAATTTTAATTCCAACTAGGAATTAGCCATGGTGATCAATAATTGGTGTCTTAACTCCTGTGAGGGCTCAAATCAAGTTACTCCCTCCATGTTCCCAAAAGAAAATTATTTTGAGGTTGTCTTAAGTCAAATATTTTAAACTTTGACTATAAAAAAAATTTCTTTTGGGTTGAGTTTGAAAATATAAAAGTGATATAAGTAGATTCATCTAGAAATATAGTTTTATAAAAGTATATATTGACTGTATTTAATTAAAATTTATAGCAAAAGTAAGAGTTTGCCGCGGGCACGGCGAGGAAAGTGAGCTCATTGCCTTATTGGAGAAGAAAATAGGACTGTTGAATGTTCACCGAATGGCTCAAAATATCGGGTGCTAGTAGCACCCTCTAAACTCCCCTCATCGCGATACACATATACACGCTCCAAAATGAGTGTACTTGCTTGCACTAGAGCCCGTCAGCCTGGTCCGGAGCAGGACAGACACTACACGTCCTTTTGAAAGAGGACCGGATGCTGAAACCATGTGGAAATCGGAGACGTACTGCCGGAGCAGCTCCTGAATCACTGACGCGATCGCGTCCTTGTGCAATCCGGAATCCTGGTTGGGGCACACTAGCCACTCCACTTATACGATGCCAGCAACGTGGCTCGCCCTGGCTACCTCCATCGACTGTAGCTGCTCCCAGCCACAGGTGGTGGTACTACTCATGGAAAACAGTAGCGTGGCTACGATGCCAAAGCGTGGTCTGCATCTGCATTGCCTGCGACTGCTCCACACTGCATCTCAGTATCTTTCTGTATGACGGAGATGGATGGAGTACCACGACAAACAAAATGGAGTACCGCGACGGCCCTCCAGCAAGGTCTCCGACGACCCGTATAGCCTACGAAGCGGCGGAAACCAGAAATCACCCTTGGGCCCTGTTCATCAATCGGCACTCTAAAAGAAAGGACCTATGTACCCCGCGCGCACGACCGCGACAAAAATTGCGAGAAGCATTTCTCTGGCAATTCTGGTTACCTATTTGCTGGAAACAAGCTTGGATCCATGCATGCATCCAGCCAAGGGCACGCACGCAACGTGTGTGTGTGTGCGCGCGCGCTTGCCCGGCGCATGCGGTGCCGTCGAAATCACGAGGAGTTTGGCGACGACGGATCATCTTTTCCCGGCGGGTTCCCTCTGTCCTGTCCAGATCGCAAATATTTCGCGCACCGCACCCGCCCGGGGCTGGCTGGGGATTTGCCGGATCGATCGGGACGGGAGGGAGAAACAGAGGCGGACGTTACCGCGCGGGCGGCCAACGAGCGGCGGACACGGAGAAACAGAGGCGGACCCGTCGGTCTCACGCCTGGCGTAGCCTGGTTGGCCTAGTGCCCCGTACGTGCCGTGATCGGCGTGAGGCGAAGCCGCGCCAAGCAAGCCAAGCCAAAGCCAGCGCCCAACCAACAGCCGGGTGCCCGGGTCCGGGTACGGCGGCACGGTTACGCTGAAAACCTGGACGAAGTAAAGTAACGGGACTGGAGTGGGTGACATAAGTGCAGGAGTGGTGACGCCGTGGCACTGCTAGTCTTGTATCCCAGGCTACCAGCACCACCGCTGCGCGCTGCGCTGCACGGCAGCGGCCAGCGGGCAGGCGCAGGCCGCGCAGCGCAGGCATCGGATCCCCCACCCCACCCGGCCCTGCCGCTGCGAGTTCCGACGAGCCGCGGTGTACCCACCAAGCGAATTCCGGGCGCGCAGTGCGGTGCGGTCCGGTGGCTACTGGCTAGGCTAGCCCAAAGCCCCAAATGGAGTGGAGGTGGAGCAGCGGCACTGCGGCAGCGCCCTACTCCTTGGCTACTGGCTAACGCACCCCGTTTTCTTTCCCTCGCTGAAACGGCTAGGCGCTGGCTGCTCATCAGTACTGGGGCTAGGGCGCGAAGCTTTTCACCAAAAGAGAAAGAGGGACGCCCACACCCTCACTCACATTGTCACGTACGGAGTAGGAGTACAACTGTACAAGGAGGGGGCACACACCGAGGGAGAGAGAAGAGAGATTGTGTGCCTATGCGGCTATGCCTATGCCTATGCCTATGCACGTAGTAGAGTCGTACAGTACAGGGGCTATGTGTGGTGTGGGCTGCCGTGCCAGCACTGCTCTTCTGCCCTCCTCTTTTCTTTTATAAACAGAGCAACGGTAGGCGCGAGGGAGGCCAAGACGAGGGAGCCCCGGCGCTTGTTTCTGCCCGCTCTCACTCAGGCCATGTTTAGTTACTCCTAATTCCAGAATTTGACACTATACAAAAAGAAGATTTCCCGTCACATCAAACCTGTGGTACATGTATGTAATATTAAATGTTGACGAAATTAAAAACTAATTGCACAGTTTGGTTGTACTTTGCGAGACGAACGTTTTGAGCCTAATTAGTCAACGACTGGACAATTATTACCAAATAAAAACAAAACGGTACTGTAGCTACAGTACCCCCGAAATTTCGGCGGCGCCGATTCGGTGCGTGAACTAAACACGGCCTGAGTCGCTCCACTCCCCGCCCCCTGCTCTGCTCGGTGCCTCTGCCTCGTGCCTCGGCTCTATATATACGCGGGCGCACCAGTCCAGCAAGCAAATAAAGGCGGGCGTCGAAGAGGAGGAGGGTAGGAGCCAGGAGGAGCTTTGGACCGAGCGAGGGAGCCGAGAGAGCGAGAGGAATTAATGGGTGAGGAGGCCAGCTGCAACGCCGTCAGCGTGATGGAGGCCGCCACCAACGCCAAGCCGGCCAAGGAGAACGGCTGCGCGCCGGCCGTGGCGGCGGCGGAGGCCGTAGCTGCGGTGGTGGCCCCGGAGGCGGCGGCACCCGTGGCCGCGGCCGCGGCCGCGGCCGACCCCCGGCTGCAGGGCATCTCCGACGCCATCCGCGTCGTGCCGCACTTCCCCAAGCAAGGTGTGCCTTGCTCGCTCCTCGATCTCCACGCCCTCTCCGGTTAACTATGCCGCTGCTAGTAGCAAGCGCTGATCGATCTTTTTTTTTTTGCTTTTGCATGCGCCGTTGGGGGCGGGGCTGGTGGTGCAGGCATCATGTTCAACGACATCACCACGCTGCTGCTGCGCCCCGGGGTGTTCAAGGACGCCGTCGACCTGTTCGTCGAGCGCTACCGTGGGATGCGCATCGACGCCGTCGCCGGTAATAATCAGCAGAACCCGACGGACACCTCCCCTCGTCCCTCGTCTCGTCCGTCCCCATCTGATCTCTGCCGACTGGCGACTAGTCTCTCTCTCCGGCGGTGCCGGTGCCTGAAGCGGCACGTCGCTGTCCCGCGCGCGCGCACCCGCGGGGGAGAGCTGAGCTGTGGGCAGAGTTCTGAGATTCCGTAAAATCTCTGGGGCAGATCTCCCCTGGCCCTTCTGCTCCCCCGCGCTTTTGTCGTCGCCCGCATCCGCACCTTGGCACCTGCCCTGCCCCGTGTCCGTCTGCCGTCCGCTGCTAGGACTACGCCTTTTCTCGCGTTGCTCGCTCGCTCCCTCACGCAGTCACGCCCGTCGCAAGTCGAGCCTGCTTTCCTCGGGAGGATCATATCATAATCGGATTAATCGCCTCAATAATCCTCCCACGCTACTGTTGCATGCTGGATTTGCGTTGCGGCCAGCGCCGCTGCCATATCCATCCGTCAGGTGCAAAGCTGATCCTAAAGCCGCAAACGGATAATAAGGGCGTGTTTTGGTTCCTTCGACTGAATTTTAAACCTGTCATATCGGATGTTTGACACGTGCATAGAGTATTAAATTTAGATTAAAAAATAATTAATTACATAGATTATGATTAATTTGTGAGATGAATTTTTTAAACTTAATTAGTCTATAATTTGACAATATGGTGCCGCAATAAATATGTGCTAATGATAGGTTAATTATGTTTAATAAATTCGTTTGTTAAATTAGTCTCTAATTAGTTTTATAAGGTTATTGTTTAGATCTAAATTTTGGCTTTTGGCATACACGTGTAAAAAGATTTGTTTGTATTGGAGAGTGAAAAAACTTAGAATCTAAACAAGGCTCTAATTAGGTTTAAAAGATTTGACAACGTGGTTACGGATAAATATGTGCTAATGATAGTATTTAAATACTTATATTGAAGGTTAATTATGTTTAATAAATTCGTTTGGTAAATTAGTCTCTAATTAGTTTTATAATTATCTCATTTAGTCTTCCGTCCGAACGTCCGAACGGTGACGTCCGTCCAACCAAACACGTCATAAATGTGCGAGATCGTGGTGGACCGTCGTCGCTGACAGCGGGGCCCTTCTCCTTCCCGTGTGCATGTGCCCTCCGTGGACCGTCGTTGCTGACAGCATGGGACGGCGTGTGGCTAACCTCGTCTGCCGCCTGCCGGTGCCGGTGTGGTTTGAGTGCACGCTTGGCGCTGCCAGTGCCAGCCAGCCCTGTTGCCCGCGGCCCGCCTGGCCGCCTGCCTGAACCGGCGAACCGGCCATGCATGCACAGGGCGTGCATGCGTGCGTGGCAGAATGTGTGGCGCAGCGTACTCCCTCCGTCCGTCCTCGGCACATGACCTGGGCGCGCCTTTCCAGGCTTTCCCGCTGCGGCCGCGCCCGGAATCTGCCGCATTCAGTAGCGTATCGGGGGTGGGCACTGGGCTGCCTGCCTGTGCCTGCTACGGGCACAGCAGATCCCGTCCCGCCAGCGGCAGGGGCCGCCAAGGGGTCAAGGCCCGCCGCGGCAGCATGCAGATGCAGCAGCGTCCGTCCGGGCCCCGTGATCGGACGGGCGCGGCAGCTGGCGCACGCGATCGGGCGGTCGGGAGACACCGGCGGTACACCCGTCATCGCCCTGATGTCACGCGGCATGTGCCCGATCCGCTGTCGTTATCGCTGCAAAGTACTGCTTCTGAGATTTTGCTCTGTTGCTTGTTGGATACTCTCCGCTTCTGCGGCCTTTGCTGAATTTTCATTATTTTCTTTCCTTCTCACCCACCTTTTCCGTTTACTCCATTAAAAAAAACACACACGAGCTTTTTATGCTTTAATGCGTCGCTGCTGTTGCTTATGTGGCACCATCTTTTGTTAGATATTGTTGTCTTTGTCAGTCTAATTATTATTACTATTACTTGGCAGTGCCAGGCCATTCATGCTTCCATTCAGCATTTGCACTACTAGTTCTGACTTGTTTCTTGTTTCCTCCAGGGATTGAGGCCAGGGGCTTCATATTTGGCCCGGCAATTGCGTTGGCTATTGGCGCCAAGTTCATACCGCTGCGCAAGCCTAGGAAGCTCCCGGGTGAGATTCCTTGAACATGATTTGTGTTTATTCTGAATTCATTCCCATGCAGATACTCTGTAGCCAGCTGTTGCTTTTCTAGTGCCCTGCTTGTGGTGACACCCTAATTAAGTATGTTTAGTCAGGATACTTGCTTAGCAGGCAGTAAAAGTACAGGCCTTGCCCATAATCTCTGACACCAAAGTTGTTTCTCTAGCCTGCTCAGCACTTTTGTGCATGCATGCAGCCCATGATGGGATATTAAGAAATGCATCAGGCTTTTTATACAAGATCATTCTGCACTTTTGTCCACATGTTCTATATATTATCTGTGTGCAGTGCCACTTACCCAAAGTGTAGTTCTGAGTGTCTTGATAATTAAACAAAATTCGTTTAACAGTAATAAACATGTGCTAACATCGGCTCTTGAAAACATGGAAGGTGAGGTGATCTCTGAGAAGTATGTTCTTGAGTACGGGACTGATTGCTTAGAGATGCATGTTGGAGCTATCGAACGGCCTGGTGAGCGTGTGCTGATCGTCGATGACCTGGTTGCAACCGGAGGAACACTCTGTGCTGGAATTAGGCTTCTTGGTACGTGAGTGCTAATTTCAACTTTATGCATTCAGACAAATTATTGACCAAGGCTTACATGCAAAGTATACATGATGATTAGTAACCGATAGAACCTACTCTTGTGCAAAGAGTGATGTAGAATATCCATGAATTTTGCAGATGTTGCATTTCCCCATTTTTATGGGGATGCTTTTTCTCTCTGAAACTTCAGACTGCTGCTTCAGTTTGCACATTCACGACACACTATTCATGGACCAGTTGTAGCAGCTAAAGCTTTAAATTGTGCATTATGCATCCGTGACATTATAGCAAGCCTTGTGCTGTTGTGCATCAGAGCATCAGGTGCATGTCAGTTGGGTACTCGGGTCAGCATCAGATTATCCAGTACTGCCAGTGTTGGACCTGTGCCAGCACAATGTTAGTTAGTAGCATTTTTTCTTCTCAGTTAAACCCCAACTAGTACACATTAGTTTGCAGCTATACTTTGACCTGAGAAATGTGGACAATAATACTGTAAAGTAATAGTGATGGGCTTTTAATGTGTTACAAATGTCAGTAGCCTCCATCAAATAGTGATTAGGGCAGAGTGTTTTAGTTTTCTGGTACCTTTGTCCTTTAGATGGAAAACTGTACTTGTCCACAGTTTTTGTAGTATGCTTCGAGGCAGAATTTGAATTTTGAGAATGCATAGTCATGCTAACTTATCAGTGACAATCTGTAGTCTGTTATGTCTTTTCTTTGGTCTGCTACTACAGTATTTGCCTTCTATAGTTTGAACTCGTAACTAAATTAACAAATTGCTTTCCAGAACGTGCTGAAGCTGATGTGGTCGAGTGCGCATGTCTCATTGGGCTCCCAAAATTCAAGGTATTGTTGCTGGACTCACAACTAACCTGAACAGGCAAAATCAGCTGTTTATTATAACGTAGGTGCCTTATACAGTTATACTGTACTATAGCCTGTATTATAATGTTTGTGCACTATTTAGACAATGCTGGCTGCATTCGTCTGATACTGTTAGTGCTGTTGTAGCTTTACAGATCGTGTAGCCCATGGTTTGTTATGCACAGCCGCAAGGAACAACTTGCCTTGTTGTTAACTGTTATATAAGTACGAACAACATGAACATGTCTGCTCTATTGCCGACACATAAGATTGCTCAATATCTGTGCCAGATGGGCATCCATAGACATGAGATTTGGTTGGACATTGTTTGTTATTGTCTAAATAAAACTATAGAAGGTACATGCACTGCACCAGTCTTAACTGTATTACTTTGTTTTAGCACGGGAGCACACCTCTGTTGTGTACCATGGTTTCAGGAATCAGGATAGAGAAGGTCCTGTAGGTTCCAGGATAAATCAAGTTGAGACATTTGCATTGTGGTCCTCCTAATTTTGCTTCTTGTCAGTTAATCTATTTCAGTTTCAGTAACCGGTCACATTAGTAATTTGCAATGAAGCCTTCGTTTTTATTTCTTCAAATTTCAAACAAACTGGTTGATATGGAAAAAGGATTCAAATTTGTTAACTGATGATGTAGTAACTTCCCCGCAGGATTTCTACAAGTTGAATGGAAAGCCTGTATACGTGCTGGTTGAGTCCCGTGAATCAGATAAATAAGAACTTATGGTCAGGTGAGGGATACAGACTGGATTCTTTTGTTTCTTTATGAAGTATTGCAGAGAGCAATATGTTGGTTTGAGTTCTCTTTAGCCACTACAAAACCCTTAATATTTCTAGAAATGCTAACTTGAACTCTAGCTGCAAGCAGTGTAGTGATTTATACTTATGTTGCTCATTTCCTTCGCTTCTTGTTTTTCCAGAGGAAAGCTGGTGGGTTCATTCCTTGCTACTGCGATTGAACAGCGGAGGGACATCGACAAGACAACTATGCGGTGCATTACATTAGGCTAGCTGCTAAAAGTCTTGGTGAGGGGAGGAGTAGAGTGTTGAGAGTGTAGTCTTGTAGGCCGAGTAGTTTTTCAGAGTACTGAAGAGCTTGTAGTTCTGTCCGGAACATGGTTATTAGTTGAAGCAAGAGTGTAGCCGTTCCATTGTTTGTTGAATCTTGTGGTTTTAGTTCGAAGGGCGCAGACCGGGGGGAAGAACTTCGACAGCAAAATACCCATGCTTTTAACGTCTAGGAAGTAGGAACCTGCCCTGTTAGCTTGTTATTCTTTTTCTGAACTCGTAAGTTTTGTGATAAAATTCACAAAAAAAAAAATGGCACAGGGAACGAACACAGCTCGTAGCAGAGAAAACGTAGATATACTGTACGTAGTAAAATTTACCACAACTCGTATTTTTGGGCCTCAGCATCCTCCAAATCTTGGGCCGTACGTATAGTGGTATCCGTGAGCAGTGACGGAGTACTTTCCCTGCGATGCGTAGGGTAGAGGACAACACCCCTCTGTTTCCTCCTCGCCTGCGTTGTCGTCTGACAAGCGGCACGGGCGCACGGCGCATCCGATCCATGACGCCATCCTCGTGGGTGGAAATCCCGCGACGGGGCATTGATTGTGAGAAACCGCAGGCGTACTGTACGTGCATGTCACCTCGCATCCTCCATGCATGCGGCACTGGCGCTACTGCGCTAGCAGTCTAGCGCCTGATCCCCAGGCGACGTGTTGTCACATCGCTGGTAGGGGCCGCAGGCCTACTACGCGTAGCCCGTGCCCCCGCCCGAGCCGAGATGATACTCCACTCCACTCCTGCTACTGTGTACTGTGCCGGGGCGGTGGCGTGCCCCCGCTGCGCGCATGCTGGCCTTTCCGGCGCCAAATCGGACGACGGGTGGCAGGGTGGCGCAGATGCACAGCGCCATGCCCATGCGGTATCTCCCGCCGCAGCGGCCAGAATGAATGAGCCGAAGGTGACCGCCCTACGTATCCTACCAGCTCGAGCTACGTGTTGACCGTTCGGCCCGTCACCTCGGGCCTCGTTTAGTTGGCCACCGAATCGGCGCCGCCGGATTCGGTGCGCTACTGTAGCTACTGTAGCGTTTGTTTTTAGTAATAATTGTCCAATTATTGACTAATTAGGCTCAAAATGTTCGTCTTGCAAAGTACAACCATACTGTGTAATTAGTTTTTAATTTCGTCAACATTTAGTACTCCATACATGTACCGCAAATTTGATGTGACGGGGAATCTTCTTTTTGCATAGTGCCAAATTCTGAAAAATGAGGGAACTAAACATGACCTCGCCACAATGCGAGGGCCTGTTTGGTTCGGTAGTCAGTACCCATTTAAGGTTGTGCGGCAGCAAGACCAGTCTCGGCAGAAAGTTTCGTTTTTGTTGTCTCTGGACTGCTATATCATATAGAATAAAATGAAACTTAGATAAAACATTTACTCTCAATGAAAGATTTCATTCTATAGTTTTATATACATTTAATTTCATGACTCATAGAGAGTTGGTAACTGTGTCAATAGAATTTCTTCTCTATGAAATACAATTATTCTCTCTCTTCATTAAAACATTGCCATATCATCAAAAATGTATATGTGGCAAGCTATTAAATGCAAATGAAACTCTAGTGAAACTCCCACAGAGGCTGGCCTAACTAGACCATCGATTCGAATGCCTGGCGGCAGTAACTATTTGTGCAAGTTGAATTATCTTAACTAGCAATCGTGCCCGTGCGTTGTAACGGGACGTTATTTTCACTTTTAAATTGCTAACACCTTCCTCACGCTCATAATAATGTCATCTTTGAATCCGTCGACGACAATATGTATTGATACCTTTAAAGCATCTTACAAACACACGGATTAATCGTTCATCTTTCGGAGTAGTCGTGCATGGGCCACATGTGGTTCTCCATTGCACGGGGCGTGTGAGGCTGGCGCAGCCTATCTTCGACTGTCGCGTGAGCCGTCAGGGTTGCCACAAGGTCTCGTCCGTCAGCGGACTACATAAATTCTGCTAGCAACATGCCCTTCCACTTACACAAGTCTTCCCCAGCATATCGTGCCTCGTCCGATCACGCAAACCGTGCCCGTAATCAATTGAGAAAAACCAGAACCCATAATCACCGGAACTCGATCAATCAATAAAAAAAATGAGTTCCCTCAATCACCGTGGTTATTTGCCAGCGTGTGCACCTGGATACTTCACTCTCCTATTTTTCCTCGCAAAATTGGCAACGATTCAATTTCATCCTCAACCTTACATCACGACCATAGTAGCACCCTGTCCCCCATCACCGCCGTCATCGAGAGAGCTCGATCGTCGCTCTCTTCTTCAACACCCGCATCCATACCTCTACTATCTCGCTCTCCATGCAGTGTAGTACCCTGCCCTGCCTCAATAAAAGTACATGAGATTTTGTACATGTCACACAGGCATGCAATCTGAGAAAAAAATATGAAGACTTGGAGCGACGCCCTCGACGAAGTGGACGACAGAGGACACCGACATGGCCAACCGACAGTAGTTGACGTCCACCGCTCCACACCTCGTCGTCAGCCTCAACATTGTCACGGCCTTGGCGATGTGGGCGAGGATGTCGCAGGTCGAACTCGAGGGATCATATATGGACCAGCCGGCACCAATATACTCGGCGAGTGCGTGACCACGAGCCACGACCACGGGTAGACATGCGTGGCCAGGAGTGTGTTGCCCGTGTGCGCGAGCGTTGTGGACCTGTTTCCGTCTCCAACTCTTTATTAACAAGACAAGTTTGTGCAACTCTCTTGTTAGGAAACTTAATATTTTACTACACGCGACTAATCTATTTGTACATGGCCGAATCTGTTAGACGGCCGTGCTAGAGTATATCTCTAGTCGAACACGTACTCCAATTACTTTAATCTTCTGCTATCTTCTCTTGCCTCTTCTCTCCACGTGTAGTGTAGGACTTATGGTTGACTTGTAATCGTGACTTGTTAGGATTTCTGGTACGCGACTTGGCCACGAAAAAAATAAAAAAACAGAAAATAAAACTTTTAACCTTTTGTATTTAGATTAGAATTTCTATTCGGGTACTCATTGGATGGATTTATTTGGATTAGGATTCTAACTAAACAGGCCTTTAGAATTTCTATTCGAGTGCTCATCGGATGGATCTATTTGGATTAGGATTCTAACTATCCAAGCCTCAAGAACATATATTCAGGTAGACAGATGAATAAAAACAATTTCACATTCACATAGTTAGTTAGGGAAGGCCATATAAAAAAAATGGAAAGAAAATTTACCTCTTTATTATTAGGTATAGATTTTAGCTAAACAAGATTAGTCATAATATATATTTTTATAATAAATCTAATAATACTTATTTATATATAATAAATGTTAGTGTTCTTTTATATAATATTGGTCAAACTCTAAACCGTTTGACTTCTAGAAACATAATAATTACATCGTTTTGTGGACGGAGAAAGTATATGCCAAGCAAACTACCTACCACGGTCGCGAACCAAATAGGCCCAGTGTATCCGTGTGGGTGCTATTTGTTTTTTCTCTAAGAACACCAATAATGACCATCTCTAAGCTAGTATTAGATGCCAAAAATATTTTAGCTAGCAGGAAGAGAAGAGTTAAGCTCTTTATGCATCCCAATACATGAGAGATACAAATACTCTATCTCTCTTGACATGAGAGAATATATGAATGAAGAACATTTTACATGCATGTGACACATGCTACAAGATAACATAGAATGACTCGGCACTTGAAATGGAGATGTCCTAAGAGCAAGCCTAATAATAGAGTCAAGTGCTTGGCTATAAGTCAAGTTGTAAGAGCCAAACTATACAATAGTTGTCTTCTATTTATTTATAATTGTTGTTATTATTATTATCATCATCATCATCATCATCATCATCATCATCATCATCATATTATTATTATTATTATAGTATTTTTTTACTATACCTCACATTCTCTTTCCTATTCCTCCTTACCTCCACTTGCTACCTAGGTCCACCACAACATAGGCTTTTGTGCTCAGCTTGTTGCTTGCATGAGAGCTAATTCTCTCTCTCTCTCTCTCCCTTACATCGCTAAAAAGTTAACTTGGCTATAAAACTATTATTATATTTGCTTCGAGGCTATTTAAAAAAAAAAAAATCTAAAGCTTATCAGCACTTAGCCTATGCAAATTATATAAAGCTTACAGAAAAGAGTATCTATATTTACGATGTTGAATATGTGTATATAAAAATATGTTCCATGACGTACTTATCTATTTAATTACTATTGTAAATATTGATAATTTTTATAAAGAATTAGTCGAATTCAAGATGATTTGACTTGCCATTTTGGGACTTCGACAACCTTGTGTGACTGTGTGTGGATGTTGATGCTATGTGAACTACTTTGGTATACTAGTGGACAAAATATAGCATAGAGAGGACATAAGAACAGCCTGAGTTAATCCATATCAGTCTCCAACTGACCTTGGCAATTTTACCACCTTTTTTTTAGCGCATACCAACATCTTTGTGTGCTTTTGAAAGTTTTGCATTAGAAAATCACCATGTGGCAGTTTTCCGTACAAAGAGAAGAAGAACTCCACACCAAGCAATCTCAATGGCAACTGGCACATGAAAGAAGATGGAGGCAATATAGAAGACTTCAAAATGGAGATATGGATAGAGACTTTTGAAGTTTCT